TCCATGTCCACGTCCACGTCCACGTCCACGTCCACGTCCATATCCAGGTCCACGTCCACGTCCACGTCCACGTCCATGTCCACGTACATGTCCTCCAAGTTCATGTCCATGTCCACGTCCACGTCCAGGTCCACGTCCACGTCCACGTCCACGTCCATGTCCATGTCCACGTCCACGTCCAGGTCCACGTCCACGTCCACGTCCATGTCCACGTCCATGTCCACGTCCACGTCCATGTCCACGTCCATGTCCACGTCCATGTCCAGGTCCACGTCCACGTCCACGTCCACGTCCACGTCCATGTCCACGTCCATGTCCATGTCCACGTCCACATCCACGTCCATCTCCACGTCCACGTCCACGTCCACGTCCACGACCACGTCCACGTCCACGACCACGTCCACGACCACGTCCACGTCCATGTCCACGTCCACGTCCACCTCCACGTCCACGTCCATGTCCACGACCACGTCCACGACCACGTCGACGTCCACGTCCACGTCCATGTCCACGTCCACGTCCACGTCCACGTCCATGTCCACGTCGACGTCCACGTCCAAGTCCATGTCCATGTCCACGTCCATGTCCATGTCCACGTCCACGTCCACGTCCACGTCCATGTCCACGTCCACGTCCAAGTCCACGTCCACGTCCATGTCCACCTCCACGTCCATGTCCAAGTCCATGTCCACGTCCACGTCCACGTCCACGTCCATGTCCACGTCCACGTCCACGTCCACGTCCATGTCCACCTCCACGTCCACGTCCAAGTCCATGTCCACGTCCACGTCCACGTCCAAGTCCACATCCACGTCCACGTCCATGTCCACGTCCACGTCCATGTCCATGTCCACGTCCATGTCCATGTCCACGTCCACGTTCACATCCACGTCCATGTCCACATCCACGTCCATGTCCACGTCCACGTCCACGTCCACGTCCACGTCCACGTCCACAACCATGTCCACGTCCACGTCCACGTCCACGTCCACATCCATGTCCACGTCCACGTCCACGTCCATGTCCATGTCCACGACCACGTCCACGACCACGTCAACGTCCATGTCCATGTCCACGTCCACGTCTACGTCCATGTCCACGTCCAGGTCCATGTCCACATCCACGTCCATGTCCACGTCCATGTTTACGTCCATGTCCACGTCCATGTCCACGTCCATGTCCAGGTCCACGTCCACGTCCACGTCCACGTCCACGTCCATGTCCACGTCCATGTCCATGTCCACGTCCACGTCCACGTCCATCTCCACGTCCACGTCTACGTCCACGTCCACGTCCACGACCACGTCCACGTCCACGACCACGTCCACGACCACGTCCACGTCCACGTCCACGTCCATGTCCACGTCCACGTCCACGTCCATGTCCACGTCCACGTCCATGTCCACGTCCATGTCCACGTCCATGTCCACGTCCACGTCCACGTCCATGTCCACGTCCATGTCCACGTCCATGTCCACATCCACGTCATGTCCACGTCCATGTTCGCGTCCACGTCCACGTCCACGTCCATGTCCACGTCCACGTCCACGTCCACGTCCATGTCCACGTCCATGTCCACATCCAACTCCTCCACATCCACGTCAACGTCCATGTCCTCGTCCACGTCCACGTCCACGTCCATGTCCACGTCCACGTCCATGTCCACGTCCACGTCCATGTCCATGTCCACGTCCACGCCCACGTCCACGTCCACGTCGATGTCCACGTCCACGCCCACGTCCACGTCCACGTCGATGTCCACGTCCATGTCCACGTCCATGTCCACGTCCATGTCCAAGTCCACGTCCATGTCCATGTCCACGTCCACATCCACGTCCACGTCCACGTCCATGTCCACGTCTACGTCCACGTCCATGTCCACGTCCACGTCCATGTCCACGTCCATGTCCACGTCCACGTCCACGTCCGCGTCCATGTCCACGTCTAAGTCCTCCACGTCCACGTCCACATCCATGTCCACGTCCACGTCTACGTCCAGGTCCAGGTCCACGTCCACGTCCACGTCCATGTCCACGTCCACGTCCACGTCCATGTCCACGTCGACGTCCACTACCATGTCCACGTCCACGTCCACATCCACGTCCATGTCCACGTCCATGTCCACGTCCATGTCCATGTCCACGTCCACGTCCATGTCCACGTCCACGTCCATGTCCATGTCCACGTCCACGCCCACGTCCACGTCCACGTCAATGTCCACGTCCACGTCCATGTCCACGTCCACGTCCATGTCCACGTCCATGTCCACGTCCACGTCTAGTCCACGTCCTCGTCCACGTCCACGTCCATGTCCACGTCCACGTCCACGTCCATGTCCACGTCCATGCCACGTCCACGTCCACATCCATGTCCACGTCCACGTCCATGTCCACGTCCACGTCCACATCCATGTCCATGTCCACGTCCACGTCCACGTCCACGTCCACGTCCACGTCCATGTCCACGTCCATGTCCACGTCCATGTTGATGTCCACGTCCATGTCCACGTCTACGTCCACGTCCACGTCCACGACCATGTCCACGTCCAGGTCCACGTCCATGTCCACGTCCAAGTCCTCCATGTCCATGTCCACGTCCACGTCCACGTCCACGTCCACGTCCATGTCCACGTCCACGTCCAGGTCCACGTCCACGTCCACGTCCATGTCCATGTCCACGTCCTCGTCCACATCCACGTCCACGTCCACGTCCATGTCCACGTCCATGTCCACGTCCACGTCCACGTCCACGTCCACGTCCACGTCCATGTCCAGGTCCACGTCCACGTCCACGTCCACGTCCATGTCCATGTCCACGTCCACATCCACGTCCACGTCCATGTCCACGTCCATGTCCACGTCCACGTCCATGTCCACGTCCATGTCCACGTCCATGTCTACGTCCACGTCCACGTCCACGTCCACGTCCATGTCCACGTCCACGTCCACGTCCATGTCCACGTCCACGTCCACGTCCATGTCCACGTCCATGCCTACGTCCACGTCCACGTCCAAGTCCATGTCCACATCCAAGTCCTCCACGTCCACGTCCACGTCCACGTCCACGACCATCTACGTCCACGTCCACGTCCACGTCCATGTCCACTTCCAAGTCCTCCACGTCCACGTCAACGTCCATGTCCACGTCCATGTCCATGTCCACGTCCATGTCCACGTCCATATCCACGTCCACGTCCACGTCCATGTCCACGTCCACGTCCACGTCCATGTCCACGTCCACATCCACGTCCACGTCCACGTCCACGTCCATGTCCACGTCCACGTCCACGTCCACGTCCACGTCCACGACCATGTCCACGTCCACGTCCACGTCCACGTCCACGTCGACATCCATGTCCACGTCCACGTCCACGTCCATGTCCATATCCACGACCACGTCCACGACCACGTCAACGTCCATGTCCATGTCCACGTCCACGTCTACGTCCATGTCCACGTCCATGTCCATGTCCACGTCCATGTCCATGTCCACGTCCATGTCCACGTCCATGTCCACGTCCATGTCCACGTCCATGTCCAGGTCCACGTCCACGTCCACGTCCACGTCCACGTCCACGTCCACGTCCATGTCCACGTCCATGTCCATGTCCACGTCCACGTCCACGTCCATCTCCACGTCCACGTCCACGTCCACGTCCACGTCCACGACCACGTCCACGTCCACGACCACGTCCACGACCACGTCCACGTCCACGTCCATGTCCACGTCCATGTCCACGTCCATGTCCACGTCCACGTCCACGTCCACGTCCACGTCCATGTCCACGTCCATGTCTATGTCCACGTCCACATCCACGTCCATCTCCACGTCCACGTCCACGTCCACGTCCACGTCCACGACCACGTCCACGTCCACGACCACGTCCACGACCACGTCCACGTCCACGTCCACGTCCACGTCCACCTCCACGTCCACGACCACGTCCACGACCACGTCGACGTCCACGTCCATGTCCATGTCCACGTCCACGTCCACGTCCACGTCCATGTCCACGTCGACGTCCACGTCCAAATCCATGTCCACGTCCACGTCCATGTCCATGTCCACGTCCACGTCCACGTCCACGTCCATGTCCACGTCCACGTCCATGTCCACGTCCACGTCCACGTCCACGTCCACGTCCATGTCCACGTCCACGTCCACGTCCACGTCCATGTCCACGTCCACGTCCACGTCCACGTCCACGTCCATGTCCACCTCCACGTCCACGTCCCTGTCCACCTCCACGTCCACGTCCAAGTCCAAGTCCACATCCACGTCCACGTCCATGTCCACGTCCACGTCCATGTCCATGTCCACGTCCATGTCCATGTCCACGTCCACGTTCACATCCACGTCCATGTCCACATCCACGTCCATGTCCACGTCCACGTCCACGTCCACGTCCACGTCCACGACCATGTCCACGTCCACGTCCACGTCCACGTCCACGTCCACATCCATGTCCACGTCCACGTCCACGTCCATGTCCATGTCCACGACCACGTCCACGACCACGTCAACGTCCATGTCCATGTCCACGTCCACGTCTACGTCTATGTCCACGTCCATCTCCATGTCCACGTCCATGTCCATGTCCACGTCCATGTCCACGTCCATGTCCACGTCCATGTCCACGTCCATGTCCAGGTCCACGTCCACGTCCATGTCCACGTCCACGTCCATGTCCACGTCCATGTCCATGTCCACGTCCACGTCCACGTCCATCTCCATGTCCACGTCCAAGTCCACGTCCACGTCCACGTCCACGACCACGTCCACGTCCACGACCACGTCCACGACCACGTCCACGTCCACGTCCACGTCCATGTCCACGTCCACGTCCACATCCATGTCCACGTCCACGTCCATGTCCACGTCCATGTCCACGTCCATGTCCACGTCCACGTCCACGTCCATATCCACGTCCATGTCCACGTCCATGTCCACATCCACGTCATGTCCACGGCCATGTTCACGTCCACGTCCACGTCCACGTCCACGTCCATGTCCACGTCCACGTCCACGTCCATGTCCACGTCCATGTCCACATCCAACTCCTCCACATCCACGTCCACGTCCATGTCCTCGTCCACGTCCACGTCCACGTCCATGTCCACGTCCATGTCCACGTCCACGTCCATGTCCATGTCCACGTCCACGCCCACGTCCACGTCCACGTCGATGTCCACGTCCACGTCCATGTCCACGTCTATGTCCACGTCCATGTCCACGTCCATGTCCAAGTCCACGTCCACGTCCATGTCCACGTCCACATCCACGTCCACGTCCACGTCCACGTCCATGTCCAACTCCACGTCCACGTCCATGTCCACGTCCACGTCCATGTCCACGTCCATGTCCATGTCCACGTCCATGTCCACGTCCACGTCCACATCCACGTCCATGTCCACGTCTAAGTCCTCCACGTCCACGTCCACATCCATGTCCACGTCCACGTCTACGTCCAGGTCCACGTCCACGTCCACGTCCATGTCCACGTCCACGTCCATGTCCATGTCCACGTCCACGTCCACTACCATGTCCACGTCCATGTCCACATCCACGTCCATGTCCACGTCCATGTCCACGTCCATGTCCACGTCCATGTCCATGTCCACGTCCACGTCCATGTCCACGTCCACGTCCATGTCCATGTCCACGTCCACGCCCACGTCCACGTCCACGTCAATGTCCACGTCCACGTCCATATCCACGTCCACGTCCATGTCCACGTCCATGTCCACGTCCACGTCCATGTCCACGTCCACGTCCATGTCCACGTCCATGTCCACGTCCATGTCCACGTCCATGTCCACGTCCATGTCCACGTCCACGTCCATGTCCACGTCCATGTCCACGTCCATGTCCACGTCCACGTCCACGTCCATGTCCACGGCCATGTCCACGTCCATGTCAACATCCATGTCATGTCCACGTCCATGTTCACGTCCACGTCCACGTCCACGTCCACGTCCATGTCCACGTCCACGTCCACGTCCACGTCCATGTCCACGTCCATGTCCACATCCAACTCCTCCACATCCACGTCCACGTCCATGTCCTCGTCCACGTCCACGTCCACGTCCACGTCCATGTCCACGTCCACGTCCATGTCCACGTCCACGTCCATGTCCATGTCCACGTCCACGCCCACGTCCACGTCTACGTCGATGTCCACGTCCACGTCCATGTCCACGTCCATGTCCACGTCCATGTCCACGTCCATGTCCAAGTCCATGTCCACGTCCATGTCCACATCCACGTCCACGTCCACGTCCACGTCCATGTCCACGTCCACGTCCACGTCCATGTCCACGTCCACGTCCATGTCCACGTCCATGTCCATGTCCACGTCCATGTCCACGTCCACGTCCACGTCCGCGTCCATGTCCACGTCTAAGTCCTCCACGTCCACGTCCACATCCATGTCCACGTCCACGTCTACGTCCAGGTCCAGGTCCACGTCCACGTCCACGTCCATGTCCACGTCCACGTCCACTACCATGTCCACGTCCACGTCCACATCCACGTCCATGTCCACGTCCATGTCCACGTCCATGTCCACGACCACGTCCACGTCCCTGCCACGTCCATGTCCACGTCCACGTCCACGTCCATGTCCACGTCCACGTCCATGTCCACGTCCATGTCCACGTCCACGTCCACGTCCACGTCCATGTCCACGTCCATGTCCAAGTCCATGTCCACATCCACGTCATGTCCACGTCCATGTTCACGTCCACGTCCACGTCCACGTCCACGTCCATGTCCACGTCCACGTCGACGTCCACGTCCATGTCCACGTCCATGTCCACATCCAACTCCTCCACATCCACGTCCACGTCCACGTCCATGTCCACGTCCACGTCCATGTCCACGTCCACGTCCATGTCCATGTCCACGTCCACGCCCACGTCCACGTCCAAGTCGATGTCCACGTCCACGTCCATGTCCACGTCCATGTCCACGTCCATGTCCACGTCCATGTCCAAGTCCAGGTACACGTCCATGTCCACGTCCACATCCACGTCCACGTCCACGTCCACGTCCATGTCTACGTCCATGTCCACGTCCATGTCCACGTCCACGTCCACGTCCATGTCCACGTCCATGTCCACGTCCACGTCCACATCCACGTCATGTCCATGTCCATGTTCACGTCCACGTCCACGTCCACGTCCATGTCCACGTCCACGTCCACGTCCACGTCCATGTCCACGTCCATGTCCACATCCAACTCCTCCACATCCACGTCCACGTCCACGTCCATGTCCACGTCCACGTCCATGTCCACGTCCATGTCCATGTCCACGTCCACGCCCACGTCCATGTCCACGTCGATGTCCACGTCCACGTCCATGTCCACGTCCATGTCCACGTCCATGTCCACGTCCATGTCCAAGTCCACGTACACGTCCATGTCCACGTCCACATCCACGTCCACGTCCACGTCCACGTCCATGTCCAAGTCCACGTCCACGTCCATGTCCACGTCCACGTCCATGTCCACGTCCATGTCCATGTCCACGTCCATGTCCACGTCCACGTCCACGTCCATGTCCACGTCTAAGTTCTCCACGTCCACGTCCACATCCATGTCCACGTCCACGTCTACGTCCAGGTCCACGTCCACGTCCACGTCCACGTCCACGTCCATGTCCACGTCCACGTCCATGTCCATGTCCACGTCCACGTCCACTACCATGTCCACATCCACGTCCATGTCCACGTCCATGTCCACGTCCATGTCCACGTCCATGTCCATGTCCACGTCCACGTCCATGTCCACGTCCACGTCCATGTCCATGTCCACGTCCACGCCCACGTCCACGTCCACGTCAATGTCCACGTCCACGTCCATATCCACGTCCACGTCCATGTCCACGTCCATGTCCATGTCCACGTCCATGTCCACGTCCACGTCCATGTCCACGTCCATGTCCACGTCCATATCCACGTCCATGTCCACGTCCAGTTCCACGTCCATGTCCACGTCCACATCCACGTCCACGTCCACGTCCACGTCCATGTCCACGTCCACGTCCATGTCCACGTCCACGTCCATGTCCACGTCCATGTCCACGTCCATGTCCACGTCAACGTCCACGTCCATGTCAATGTCCATGTCCACGTCTATCTCCACGTCCACGTCCATGTCCACGTCCATGTCCACGTCCACGTCCATGTCCACGTCTACGTCCACGTCCACGTCCACGTCCATGTCCACGTCCACGTCCATGTCCACGTCCACGTCCATGTCCATGTCCACGTCCACGCCCACGTCCACGTCCACGTCGATGTCCACGTCCACGTCCACGTCCACGTCCATGTCTACGTCCATGTCCACGTCCACGTCCATGTTCACGTCCACGTCCACGTCCATGTCCAAGTCCAAGTCCTCCACATCCACGTCCACGTCCACGTCCATGTCCACGTCCACGTCCAGGTCCACGTCCACGTCCACGTCCACGTCCATATCCACGTCCACGTCCACGTCCATGTCCACGTCCACGTCCACGTCCATGTCCACGTCCACGTCCACGTCCACGTCCACGTCCACTTCCATGTCCACGTCCATGTCGACGTCCACCTCCACGTCCATGTCCACGTCCACGTCCATGTCCACGTCCACGTCCATGTCCATGTCCACGTCCACGCCCACGTCCACGTCCACGTTGATGTCCACGTCCACGTCCACGTCCACGTCCACGTCCATGTCCACGTCCATGTCTACGTCGACGTCCACGTCCACGTCCATGTCCACGTCCACGTCCACGTCCATGTCCACGTCCACGTCCACGTCCACGTCCATGTCCACGTCCACGTCCACGTCCATGTCCATGTCCACGTCCACGTCCACGTCCATGTCCACGTCCACGTCCACGTTCATGTCCACCTCCACGTCCACGTCTATGTCTACGTCCATGTCCACGTCCATGTCCACGTCCATGTCCACATCAACGTCCACGTCCACGTCCACGACCATGTCCACGTCCACGTCCACGTCCACGTACATGTCCACGTCCAAGTCCTCCACGTCCACAACCTCGTCCACGTCCATGTCCACGTCCTCCACGTCCACGTCCACGTCCTCCACGTCCACGTCCACGTCCACGACCACGTCTACGTCCACGACCACGACCACGTCCATGTCCACGTCCACTTCCACGACCACGTCTACGTCCACGTCCACGTCCACGTCCACGTCCAGGTCCATGTCCACGTCCACGTCCACGTCCATGTCCACGTCCACGTCCACGTCCACGTCTACGTCCACGTCCATGTCCACGTCCATGTCCACGTCCACGTCCACGTCCATGTCCACGTCCACGTCCACGTCCACGTCCACGTCCATGTCCACGTCCACGTCCACGTCCATGTCCACATCCACGTCCACGTCCATTTCCATGTCCACGTCCATGTCCACGTCCATGTCCACGTCCATGTCCACGTCCATGTCCACGTCCATGTCCACGTCCATGTCCACGTCCACGTCCATGTCCACGTCCACGTCCATGTCCATGTCCACGTCCATGTCCACGTCCACGTCCATGTCCACATCCATGTCAACGTCCACGTCCATGTGCATGTCCACGTCCATGTCCAGGTCCATGTCCATGTCCATGTCCACATCCACGACCATGTCCACGTCCACTTTCACGTCCACGTCCACGTCTATGTCCATGTCGTCGTCCACGTCCACGTCCACGTCCACGTCCACGTCTATGTCCACGTCCACTTCCACGTCCACGTCCATGTCCACGTCCACGTCCACGTCCACGTCCATGTCCATGTCCATGTCCATGTCCACGTCCACGTCCACGTCCACGTCCACGTCCACGTCTACGTCCACGACACGTCTATGTCCACGTCCACGACCATGTCCACGTCCACGTCCACGTCCACGTCTACGTCCACGCCACGTCCATGTCCAGGTCCACGTCCACGTCCACGTCCACGTCCACGTCCACGTCTACGTCCATGTCCACGTCCATGTCCACGTCCATGTCCATGTCCACGTCCACGTCCACGTCCACGTCCACGTCCACGTCTACGTCCATGTCCACGTCCATGTCCACGTCCATGTCCACGTCCACGTCTACGTCCACGCCACGTCCATGTCCATGTCCACGTCCACGTCCACGTCCATGTCCACGTCCATGTCTACGTCGACGTCCACGTCCACGTCCATGTCCACGTCCACGTCCACGTCCATGTCCACGTCCACGTCCACGTCCACGTCTATGTCCACGTCCACGTCCACGTCCAAGTCCATGTCCACGTCCACGTCCACGTCCATGTCCACGTCAACGTCCACGTCCATGTCCACGTCCACTTCCACGTCTATGTCCACGTCCATGTCCACGTCCATGTCCACGTCCATGTCCACCTCAACGTCCACGTCCACGTCCACGACCATGTCCACGTCCACGTACATGTCCACGTCCAAGTCCTCCACGTCCACAACCTCGTCCACGTCCATGTCCACGTCCTCCACGTCCACGTCCACGTCCTCCACGTCCACGTCCACGTCCACGACCACGTCTACGTCCACGACCACGACCACGTCCATGTCCACGTCCACTTCCACGACCACGTCTACGTCCACGTCCACGTCCACGTCCACGTCCAGGTCCATGTCCACGTCCACGTCCACGTCCATGTCCACGTCCACGTCCACGTCCACGTCTACGTCCACGTCCATGTCCACGTCCATGTCCACGTCCACGTCCACGTCCATGTCCACGTCCACGTCCACGTCCACGTCCACGTCCACGTCCATGTCCACGTCCACGTCCATGTCCATGTCCACGTCCACGTCCACGTCCATGTCCATGTCCACGTCCATGTCCACGTCCATGTCCACGTCCACGTCCACGTCCATGTCCACGTCCACGTCCACGTCCATGTCCACGTCCACGTCCACGTCCACGTCCACGTCCAGGTCCATGTCCACGTCCACGTCCACGTCCATGTCCACGTCCACGTCCACGTCCACGTCTACGTCCACGTCCATGTCCACGTCCATGTCCACGTCCACGTCCACGTCCATGTCCACGTCCACGTCCACGTCCACGTCCACGTCCAGGTCCATGTCCACGTCCACGTCCACGTCCATGTCCACGTCCACGTCCACGTCCACGTCTACGTCCACATCCATGTCCACGTCCATGTCCACGTCCACGTCCACGTCCATGTCCACGTCCACGTCCACGTCCACGTCCACGTCCACGTCCATGTCCACGTCCACGTCCATGTCCATGTCCACGTCCACGTCCACGTCCATGTCCATGTCCACGTCCATGTCCACGTCCATGTCCACGTCCACGTCCACGTCCATGTCCACGTCCACGTCCACGTCCATGTCCACGTCCACGTCCATGTCCACGTCCACGTCCATGTCCATGTCCACGTCCACGTCCACGTCCACGTCCATGTCCACGTCCATGTCCACGTCCATGTCCACGTCCATGTCCACGTTCACGTCCACGTCCACGTCCATGTCCATGTCCACGTCCACGTCCACGTCCATGTCCACGTCCATGTACACGTCTACGTCCACGTCCATGTCCATGTCCATGTCCACGTCCACGTCCACGTCCATGTCCACGTCCATGTCCACGTCCACGTCCATGTGCATGTCCACGTCCATGTCCAGGTCCATGTCCATGTCCATGTCCACATCCATGACCATGTCCACGTCCACGTCCACGTCCACGTCTATGTCCATGTCCTCGTCCACGTCCACGTCCACGTCCACGTCTATGTCCACGTCCACTTCCACGTCCACGTCCATGTCCACGTCCACGTCCACGTCCACGCCCACGTCCATGTCCATGTCCATGTCCATCTCCACGTCCACGTCCACGTCCACGTCCACGTCCACGTCCACGTCTACGTCCACGACACGTCTATGTCCACGTCCACGACCATGTCCACGTCCACGTCCACGTCCACGTCTACGTCCACGCCACGTCCATGTCCAGGTCCACGTCCACGTCCACGTCCACGTCCACGTCCACGTCTACGTCCATGTCCACGTCCATGTCGACGTCCATGTCCATGTCCACGTCCACGTCCACGTCCACGTCCACGTCCACGTCTACGTCCATGTCCACGTCCATGTCCACGTCCATGTCCATGTCCACGTCCACGTCCACGCCACGTCCATGTCCATGTCCACGTCCACGTCCATGTCCATGTCCACGTCCATGTCTACGTCGACGTCCATGTCCACGTCCATGTCCACGTCGACGTCCACGTCCACGTCCATGTCCACGTCCACGTCCACGTCCATGTCCACGTCCACGTCCACGTCCACGTCCATGTCCACGTCCACGTCCACGTCCACGTCCATGTCCACGTCCACGTCCACGTCCATGTCCACGTCCACGTCCACGTCCATGTCCACGTCCACGTCCACGTCTATGTCCACGTCCATGTCCACGTCCATGTCCACGTCCATGTCCACATCAACGTCCACGTCCACGTCCACGACCATGTCCACGTCCACGTCCACGTCCACGTACATGTCCACGTCCAAGTCCTCCACGTCCACAACCTCGTCCACGTCCATGTCCACGTCCTCCACGTCCACGTCCACGTCCTCCACGTCCACGTCCACGTCCACGACCACGTCTACGTCTACGACCACGACCACGTCCATGTCCACGTCCACTTCCACGACCACGTCTACGTCCACGTCCACGTCCACGTCCACGTCCAGGTCCATGTCCACGTCCACGTCCACGTCCACGTCCATGTCCACGTCCACGTCCACGTCCACGTCCACGTCTATGTCCACGTCCATGTCCACGTCCATGTCCACGTCCACGTCCACGTCCATGTCCACGTCCACGTCCACGTCCACGTCCACGTCCATGTCCACGTCCACGTCCACGTCCATGTCCACGTCCACGTCCACGTCCACGTCCATGTCCACGTCCATGTCCACGTCCACGTCCACGTCCACGTCCACGTCCATGTCCACGTCCATGTCCACGTCCATGTCCACGTCCATGTCCACGTCCATGTCCACGTCCATGTCCACGTTCACGTCCACATCCACGTCCATGTCCATGTCCACGTCCACGTCCACGTCCATGTCCACGTCCATGTACACGTCCACGTCCACGTCCATGTCCATGTCCATGTCCACGTCCACGTCCACGTCCATGTCCACGTCCATGTCCACGTCCACGTCCATGTGCATGTCCACGTCCATGTCCAGGTCCATGTCCATGTCCATGTCCACATCCACGACCATGTCCACGTCCACGTCCACGTCCACGTCCACGTCTATGTCCATGTCCTCGTCCACGTCCACGTCCACGTCCACGTCCACGTCTATGTCCACGTCCACTTCCACGTCCACGTCCATGTCCACGTCCACGTCCACGTCCACGTCCATGTCCATGTCCATGTCCACGTCCACGTCCACATCCACGTCCACGTCCACGTCCACGTCCACGTCTACGTCCACGACACGTCTATGTCCACGTCCACGACCATGTCCACGTCCACGTCCACGTCCACGTCTACGTCCACGCCACGTCCATGTCCAGGTCCACGTCCACGTCCACGTCCACGTCCACGTCCACGTCCACGTCTACGTCCATGTCCACGTCCATGTCCATGTCCACGTCCATGTCCACGTCCATGTCCACGTCCATGTCCAAGTCCACGTCCACGTCCATGTCCACGTCCACATCCACGTCCACGTCCACGTCCACGTCCATGTCCACGTCCACGTCCACGTCCACGTCCATGTCCACGTCCACGTCCATGTCCACGTCCATGTCCACGTCCATGTCCACGTCCACGTCCACGTCCATGTCCACGTCCATGTCCACGTCTATCTCCACGTCCACGTCCATGTCCACGTCCATGTCCACGTCCACGTCCATGTCCACGTTCACGTCCACGTCCACGTCCATGTCCACGTCCACGTCCATGTCCACGTCCACGTCCATGTCCATGACCACGTCCACGCCCACGTCCACGTCCTCGTCGATGTCCACGTCCACGTCCACGTCCACGTCCATGTCCATGTCCACGTCCACGTCCACGTCGATGTCCACGTCCACGCCCACGTCCACGTCCACGTCTACGTCCATGTCTACGTCCATATCCACGTCCACGTCCATGTTCACGTCCACGTCCACGTCCATGTCCACGTCCAAGTCCTCCACATCCACGTCCACGTCCACGTCCATGTCCACGTCCACGTCCAGGTCCACGTCCACGTCCACGTCCACGTCCATATCCATGTCCACGTCCACGTCCATGTCCACGTCCACGTCCACGTCCATGTCCACGTCCACGTCCACGTCCACGTCCACTTCCATGTCCACGTCCATGTCCACGTCCATGTCCACGTCCACGTCCATGTCCACGTCCATGTCCACGTCCACGTCCACGTCCATGTCCACGTCCACGTCCACGTCCACGTCCACGTCCACGTCCATGTCCACGTCCACGTCCATGTCCATGTCCACGTCCACGTCCACGTCCATGTCCATGTCCACGTCCATGTCCACGTCCATGTCCACGTCCACGTCCACGTCCATGTCCACGTCCACGTCCACGTCCACGTCCACGTCCACGTCCATGTCCACGTCCACGTCCATGTCCATGTCCACGTCCACGTCCACGTCCACGTCCATGTCCACGTCCATGTCCACGTCCATGTCCACGTCCATGTCCACGTTCACGTCCACGTCCACGTCCATGTCCATGTCCACGTCCACGTCCACGTCCATGTCCACGTCCATGTACACGTCCACGTCCACGTCCATGTCCATGTCCATGTCCACGTCCACGTCCACGTCCATGTCCACGTCCATGTCCACGTCCACGTCCATGTGCATGTCCACGTCCATGTCCAGGTCCATGTCCATGTCCATGTCCACATCCATGACCATGTCCACGTCCACGTCCACGTCCACGTCTATGTCCATGTCCTCGTCCACGTCCACGTCCACGTCCACGTCTATGTCCACGTCCACTTCCACGTCCACGTCCATGTCCACGTCCACGTCCACGTCCACGTCCACGTCCATGTCCATGTCCATGTCCATCTCCACGTCCACGTCCACGTCCACGTCCACGTCCACGTCCACGTCTACGTCCACGACACGTCTATGTCCACGTCCACGACCATGTCCACGTCCACGTCCACGTCCACGTCTACGTCCACGCCACGTCCATGTCCAGGTCCACGTCCACGTCCACGTCCACGTCCACGTCTACGTCCATGTCCACGTCCATGTCCACGTTCATGTCCATGTCCACGTCCACGTCCACGTCCACGTCCACGTCCACGTCTACGTCCATGTCCATGTCCATGTCCACGTCCATGTCCATGTCCACGTCCACGTCCACGCCACGTCCATGTCCATGTCCACGTCCACGTCCATGTCCATGTCCACGTCCATGTCTACGTCGACGTCCATGTCCACGTCCATGTCCACGTCGACGTCCACGTCCACGTCCATGTCCACGTCCACGTCCACGTCCATGTCCACGTCCACGTCCACGTCCACGTCCATGTCCACGTCCACGTCCACGTCTACGTCCATGTCCACGTCCACGTCCACGTCCATGTCCACGTCCACGTCCACGTCCATGTCCACGTCCACGTCCACGTCTATGTCCACGTCCATGTCCACGTCCATGTCCACGTCCATGTCCACATCAACGTCCACGTCCACGTCCACGACCATGTCCACGTCCACGTCCACGTCCACGTACATGTCCACGTCCAAGTCCTCCACGTCCACAACCTCGTCCACGTCCATGTCCACGTCCTCCACGTCCACGTCCACGTCCTCCACGTCCACGTCCACGTCCACGACCACGTCTACGTCTACGACCACGACCACGTCCATGTCCACGTCCACTTCCACGACCACGTCTACGTCCACGTCCACGTCCACGTCCACGTCCAGGTCCATGTCCACGTCCACGTCCACGTCCACGTCCATGTCCACGTCCACGTCCACGTCCACGTCCACGTCTATGTCCACGTCCATGTCCACGTCCATGTCCACGTCCACGTCCACGTCCATGTCCACGTCCACGTCCACGTCCACGTCCACGTCCATGTCCACGTCCACGTCCACGTCCATGTCCACGGTCCATGTCCACGTCCATGTCCACGTCCATGTCCACGTCCATGTCCACGTCCATGTCCACGTCCATGTCCACGTTCACGTCCACATCCACGTCCATGTCCATGTCCACGTCCACGTCCACGTCCATGTCCACGTCCATGTACACGTCCACGTCCACGTCCATGTCCATGTCCATGTCCACGTCCACGTCCACGTCCATGTCCACGTCCATGTCCACGTCCACGTCCATGTGCATGTCCACGTCCATGTCCAGGTCCATGTCCATGTCCATGTCCACATCCACGACCATGTCCACGTCCACGTCCACGTCCACGTCCACGTCTATGTCCATGTCCTCGTCCACGTCCACGTCCACGTCCACGTCTATGTCCACGTCCACTTCCACGTCCACGTCCATGTCCACGTCCACGTCCACGTCCACGTCCATGTCCATGTCCATGTCCACGTCCACGTCCACATCCACGTCCACGTCCACGTCCACGTCCACGTCTACGTCCACGACACGTCTATGTCCACGTCCACGACCATGTCCACGTCCACGTCCACGTCCACGTCTACGTCCACGCCACGTCCATGTCCAGGTCCACGTCCACGTCCACGTCCACGTCCACGTCCACGTCCACGTCTACGTCCATGTCCACGTCCATGTCCATGTCCACGTCCATGTCCACGTCCATGTCCACGTCCATGTCCAAGTCCACGTCCACGTCCATGTCCACGTCCACATCCACGTCCACGTCCACGTCCACGTCCATGTCCACGTCCACGTCCACGTCCACGTCCATGTCCACGTCCACGTCCATGTCCACGTCCATGTCCACGTCCATGTCCACGTCCACGTCCACGTCCATGTCCACGTCCATGTCCACGTCTATCTCCACGTCCACGTCCATGTCCACGTCCATGTCCACGTCCACGTCCATGTCCACGTTCACGTCCACGTCCACGTCCATGTCCACGTCCACGTCCATGTCCACGTCCACGTCCATGTCCATGACCACGTCCACGCCCACGTCCACGTCCTCGTCGATGTCCACGTCCACGTCCACGTCCACGTCCATGTCCATGTCCACGTCCACGTCCACGTCGATGTCCACGTCCACGCCCACGTCCACGTCCACGTCTACGTCCATGTCTACGTCCATATCCACGTCCACGTCCATGTTCACGTCCACGTCCACGTCCATGTCCACGTCCAAGTCCTCCACATCCACGTCCACGTCCACGTCCATGTCCACGTCCACGTCCAGGTCCACGTCCACGTCCACGTCCACGTCCATATCCATGTCCACGTCCACGTCCATGTCCACGTCCACGTCCACGTCCATGTCCACGTCCACGTCCACGTCCACGTCCACTTCCATGTCCACGTCCATGTCCACGTCCATGTCCACGTCCACGTCCATGTCCACGTCCACGTCCATGTCCACGTCCACGTCCATGTCCATGTCGACGTCCACGCCCACGTCCATGTCCATGTCGACGTCCACGCCCACGTCCACGTCCACGTCCATGTCCACGTCCACGTCCACGTCGACGTCCACGTCCACGTCCACGTCCACGTCCACGTCCACGTCCATGTCCACGTCCACGTCCACGTCCATGTCCATGTCCACGTCCACGTCCACATCCACGTCCATGTCCACGTCCACGTCCACGTCCATGTCCACGTCCACGTCCATGTCCACGTCCACGTCTACGTCCACGTCCACAACCCCGTCCACGTCCACGTCCACGTCCTCCACGTCCACGTCCACGTCCTCCACGTCCACGTCCACGTCCACGACCACGTCTACGTCCACGACCACGACCACATCCATGTCCACGTCCACTTCCACGACCACGTCCACGTCCACGTCCATGTCCATGTCCACGTCCACGTCCACGTCCACGTCCAGGTCCATGTCCATGTCCATGTTCACGTCCATGTCCACGTCCACGTCCACGTCCACGTCCATGTCCATGTCCACGTCCATGTCCACGTCGACGTCCACGTCCACGTCCATATCCACGTCCACGTCCACGTTCACGTCCATGTCCATGTCCACGTCCACGTCCATGTCCATGTCCACGTCCACGTCCACGTCCACGTCCATGTCCACGTCCACGTCCACGTCCATGTCCACGTCCACGTCCATGTCCACGTCCACGTCTACGTCCACGTCCATGTCCACGTCCACGTCCACGTCCACGTCCACTTCCATGTCCACGTCCATGTCCACGTCCATGTCCACGTCCACGTCCATGTCCACGTCCACGTCCATGTCCACGTCCACGTCCATGTCCATGTCGACGTCCACGCCCACGTCCATGTCCATGTCGACGTCCACGCCCACGTCCACGTCCACGTCCATGTCCACGTCCACGTCCACGTCGACGTCCACGTCCACGTCCACGTCCACGTCCACGTCCACGTCCATGTCCACGTCCACGTCCACGTCCATGTCCATGTCCACGTCCACGTCCACATCCACGTCCATGTCCACGTCCACGTCCACGTCCATGTCCACGTCCACGTCCATGTCCACGTCCACGTCTACGTCCACGTCCATGTCCACGTCCATGTCCACGTCCACGTCCACGTCCACGTCCATGTCCACATCAACGTCCACGTCCACATCCACGACCATGTCCACGTCCACGTCCACGTCCACGTCCATGTCCACGTCCAAGTCCTCCACGTCCACAACCCCGTCCACGTCCACGTCCACGTCCTCCACGTCCACGTCCACGTCCTCCACGTCCACGTCCACGTCCACGACCACGTCTACGTCCACGACCACGACCACATCCATGTCCACGTCCACTTCCACGACCACGTCCACGTCCACGTCCATGTCCATGTCCACGTCCACGTCCACGTCCACGTCCAGGTCCATGTCCATGTCCATGTTCACGTCCATGTCCACGTCCACGTCCACGTCCACGTCCATGTCCATGTCCACGTCCATGTCCACGTCGACGTCCACGTCCACGTCCATATCCACGTCCACGTCCACGTTCACGTCCATGTCCATGTCCACGTCCACGTCCATGTCCATGTCCACGTCCACGTCCACGTCCACGTCCATGTCCACGTCCACGTCCACGTCCATGTCCACGTCCACGTCCATGTCCACGTCCACGTCTACGTCCACGTCCATGTCCACGTCCATGTCCACGTCCATGTCCACGTCCACGTCCATGTCCACATCAACGTCCACGTCCACATCCACGACCATGTCCACGTCCACGTCCACGTCCACGTCCATGTCCACGTCCAAGTCCTCCACGTCCACAACCTCGTCCACGTCCACGTCCACGTCCTCCACGTCCACGTCCACGTCCTCCACGTCCACGTCTACGTCCACGACCACGTCTACGTCCACGACCACGACCACATCCATGTCCACGTCCACTTCCACGACCACGTCCACGTCCACGTCCATGTCCATGTCCACGTCCACGTCCACGTCCACGTCCAGGTCCATGTCCATGTCCATGTTCACGTCCATGTCCACGTCCACGTCCACATCCACGTCCATGTCCACGTCAACGTCCAACTCCATGTCCACGTCCACGCCCACGTCCACGTCCACGTCGATGTCCACGTCCACGTCCACGTCCACGTCCATGTCCACGTCTATGTCCACGTGGACGTCCACGTCCACGTCTATGTCCACGTCCACGTCCATGTCCACGTCCACGTCCACGTCTATGTCCACGTCCACGTCCACGTCCACGTCCATGTCCACGTCCATGTCCACGTCCACGTCCACGTCCACGTCCATGTCCACGTCCACGTCCACGTCCATGTCCACGTCCACGTCCATGTTCACGTCCACGTCCACGTCCACGTCCACGTCCACGTCCATGTCCACGTCCATGTCCACGTCCATGTCCACGTCCACGTCCATGTCCACATCAACGTCCACGTCCACGTCCACGACCATGTCCACGTCCACGTCCACGTTCACGTCCATGTCCACGTCCAAGTCCTCCACGTCCACAACCTCGTCCACGTCCACGTCCACGTCCTCCACGTCCACGTCCACGTCCACGTCCTCCACGTCCACGTCCACGTCCTCCACGTCCACGTCCACGTCCACGACCACGTCTACGTCCACGACCACGACCACGTCCATGTCCACGTCCACTTCCACGACCACGACCACGTCCACGTCCATGTCCACGTCCACGTCCACGTCCACGTCCACGTCCAGGTCCACGTCCACGTCCATATCCACGTCCATTTCCACGTCCACGTCCATGTCCACGTCCATGTCCACGTCCATGTCCAGGTCCATGTCCACATCCACGTCCACGTCCATGTCCACGTCCACATCCACGTCCACGTCCACGTCCACGTCCACGTCCACGTCCACGTCCACGTCCATGTCCACATCCACGTCCATGTCCACGTCCATGTCCACGTCCATGTCCACGTCCACGTCCACGTCCATGTCCACGTCCATGTCCACGTCCATGTCCACATCCACGTCCATGTCCACGTCCATGTTCACGTCCACGTCTACGTCCACGTCCACGTCCACCTCCATGTCCACGTCCACGTCCACGTCCACGTCCATGTCCACGTCCATGTCCACGTCCAGCTCCTCCACATCCACGTCCACGTCCATGTCCTCGTCCACGTCCACGTCCACGTCCATGACCACGTCCACGTCCATGTCCACGTCCATGTCTATGTCCACGTCCACGCCCACGTCCACGTCCACGTCGATGTCCACGTCCACGTCCACGTCCATGTCCACGTCCATGTCCATGTCCACGTCCATGTCCACGTCCACGTCCACGTCCATGTCCACGTCTAAGTCCTCCACGTCCACGTCCACCTCCATGTCCACGTCCACGTCTACGTCCAGGTCCACGTCCACGTCCACGTCAATGTCCACGTCCACGTCCACGTCCATGTCCACGTCCACGTCCACGTCCATGTCCACGTCCACGTCCACGTCCACGTCCATGTCCACGTCCATGTCCACGTCCATGTCCACGTCCATGTCCATGTCCACGTCCACGTCCATGTCCACGTCCACGTCCATGTCCATGTCCACGTCAACGCCCATGTCCACGTCCACGTCCACGTCCACGTCCATGTCCACGTCCACGTCCACGTCCATGTCCAGGTCTATGCCACGTCCACGTCCACATCCATGTCCACGTCCACGTCCATGTCCACGTCCACGTCCACGTCCACGTCCATGTCCACGTCCATGTCCACGTCCATGTTGACATCCACGTCCATGTCCACGTCCACGTCCACGTCCACATCTATGACCATGTCCACGTCCACGTCCACGTCCACGTCCACGTCCATGTCCACGTCCACGTCCATGTCCACGTCCATGTCCACGTCCATGTCCACGTCCACGTCCATGTCCACAACCACGTCCAGGTCCACGTCCACGTCCACGTCTACGTTCATGTCCATGTCCACGTCTACGTCCACATCCACGTCCACGTCCACGTCCATGTCCACGTCCATGTCCACGTCCACGTCCACGTCCACGTCCACGTCCATGTCCACGTCCACGTCCAGGTCCACGTCCACGTCCACGTCCACGTCCATGTCCATGTCCACGTCCACGTCCACGTCCACGTCCATGTCCACGTCCATGTCCACGTCCACGTCCATGTCCACGTTCATGTCCACGTCCATGTCTACGTCCACGTCCACGTCCACGTCCACATCCATGTCCACATCCATGTCCACGTCCACGTCCACGTCCATGTCCACGTCCATGTCCACGTCCACGTCCACGTCCATGTCCACGTCCACGTCCACGTCCACGTCCACGTCCACATCCAGGTCCATGTCCACGTCCACGTCCACGTCCATGTCCACGTCCAAGTCCTCAACGTCCACGTCCACGTCCACGTCCACGTCCACGACCATCTACGTCCACGTCCACGTCTACGTCCACGTCCATGTCCACGTCCATGTCCACGTCCATGTCCACGTCCACGTCCATGTCCACATCAACGTCCACGTCCACATCCACGACCATGTCCACGTCCACGTCCACGTCCACGTCCATGTCCACGTCCAAGTCCTCCACGTCCACAACCTCGTCCACGTCCACGTCCACGTCCTCCACGTCCACGTCCACGTCCTCCACGTCCACGTCTACGTCCACGACCACGTCTACGTCCACGACCACGACCACATCCATGTCCACGTCCACTTCCACGACCACGTCCACGTCCACGTCCATGTCCATGTCCACGTCCACGTCCACGTCCACGTCCAGGTCCATGTCCATGTCCATGTTCACGTCCATGTCCACGTCCACGTCCACGTCCACGTCCATGTCCACGTCCACGTCCAACTCCATGTCCACGTCCACGCCCACGTCCACGTCCACGTCGATGTCCACGTCCACGTCCACGTCCACGTCCATGTCCACGTCTATGTCCACGTGGACGTCCACGTCCACGTCTATGTCCACGTCCACGTCCATGTCCACGTCCACGTCCACGTCCATGTCCACGTCCACGTCCACGTCCACGTCCATGTCCACGTCCACGTCCACGTCCATGTCCACGTCCACGTCCATGTTCACGTCCACGTCCACGTCCACGTCCACGTCCATGTCCACGTCCATGTCCACGTCCATGTCCACGTCCACGTCCATGTCCACATCAACGTCCACGTCCACGTCCACGACCATGTCCACGTCCACGTCCACGTTCACGTCCATGTCCACGTCCAAGTCCTCCACGTCCACAACCTCGTCCACGTCCACGTCTACGTCCTCCACGTCCACGTCCACGTCCACGTCCTCCACGTCCACGTCCACGTCCTCCACGTCCACGTCCACGTCCACGACCACGTCTACGTCCACGACCACGACCACGTCCATGTCCACGTCCACTTCCACGACCACGTCCACGTCCACGTCCACGTCCACTCCAAGTCCATGTCCACGTCCACGTCCACGTCCACGTCCACGTCCATGTCCACGTCCACGTCCATATCCACGTCCATTTCCACGTCCACGTCCATGTCCACGTCCATGTCCACGTCCATGTCCAGGTCCATGTCCACATCCACGTCCACGTCCATGTCCACGTCCACATCCACGTCCACGTCCACGTCCACGTCCATGTCCACGTCCACGTCCACGTCCATGTCCACATCCACGTCCATGTCCACGTCCATGTCCACGTCCATGTCCACGTCCACGTCCACGTCCATGTCCACGTCCATGTCCACGTCCATGTCCACGTCCATGTCCACATCCACGTCCATGTCCACGTCCATGTTCACGTCCACGTCCACGTCCACGTCCACGTCCACCTCCATGTCCACGTCCACGTCCACGTCCATGTCCACGTCCATGTCCACGTCCAGCTCCTCCACATCCACGTCCACGTCCATGTCCTCGTCCACGTCCACGTCCACGTCCATGACCACGTCCACGTCCATGTCCACGTCCATGTCTATGTCCACGTCCACGCCCACGTCCACGTCCACGTCGATGTCCACGTCCACGTCCACGTCCATGTCCACGTCCATGTCCATGTCCACGTCCATGTCCACGTCCACGTCCACGTCCATGTCCACGTCTAAGTCCTCCACGTCCACGTCCACCTCCATGTCCACGTCCACGTCTACGTCCAGGTCCACGTCCACGTCCACGTCAATGTCCACGTCCACGTCCACGTCCATGTCCACGTCCACGTCCACGTCCACGTCCATGTCCACGTCCACGTCCACGTCCACGTCCATGTCCACGTCCATGTCCACGTCCATGTCCACGTCCATGTCCATGTCCACGTCCACGTCCATGTCCACGTCCACGTCCATGTCCATGTCCACGTCAACGCCCATGTCCACGTCCACGTCCACGTCCACGTCCACGTCCATGTCCACGTCCACGTCCACGTCCATGTCCAGGTCTATGCCACGTCCACGTCCACATCCATGTCCACGTCCACGTCCATGTCCACGTCCACGTCCACGTCCACGTCCATGTCCACGTCCATGTCCACGTCCATGTTGACATCCACGTCCATGTCCACGTCCACGTCCACGTCCACATCTATGACCATGTCCACGTCCACGTCCACGTCCACGTCCACGTCCATGTCCACGTCAACGTCCATGTCCACGTCCATGTCCACGTCCATGTCCATGTCCACGTCCATGTCCACAACCACGTCCAGGTCCACGTCCACGTCCACGTCTACGTTCATGTCCATGTCCACGTCCACGTCCACATCCACGTCCACGTCCACGTCCATGTCCACGTCCATGTCCACGTCCACGTCCACGTCCACGTCCACGTCCACGTCCATGTCCACGTCCACGTCCAGGTCCACGTCCACGTCCACGTCCACGTCCATGTCCACGTCCACGTCCACGTCCACGTCCATGTCCACGTCCATGTCCACGTCCACGTCCATGTCCACGTTCATGTCCACGTCCATGTCTACGTCCACGTCCACGTCTACGTCCATGTCCACATCCATGTCCACGTCCATGTCCACGTCCATGTCCACGTCCATGTCCACGTCCACGTCCACGTCCATGTCCACGTCCACGTCCACGTCCACGTCCACGTCCACATCCAGGTCCATGTCCACGTCCACGTCCACGTCCATGTCCACGTCCAAGTCCTCAACGTCCACGTCCACGTCCACGTCCACGTCCACGACCATCTACGTCCACGTCCACGTCCACGTCCACGTCCATGTCCACTTCCAAGTCCTCCACGTGGACGTCAACGTCCATGTCCACGTCCATGTCCACGTCCACGTCCATGTCCACGTCCATGTACACGTCCATGTCCACGTCCATATCCACGTCCACGTCCACGTCCATGTCCACGTCCACATCCACGTCCACGTCCACGTCCACGTCCATGTCCACGTCGACGTCCACGTCCATGTCCACGTCCACGTCCATGTCCACGTCCATGTCCACGTCCATGTCCACGTCCACGTCCACGTCCACGTCCATGTCCACGTCCATGTCTACGTCCATCTCCACGTCCACGTCCATGTCTACGTCCATGTCCACGTCCACGTCCATGTCCACGTCCACGTCCACGTCTACGTCCACGTCCACGTCCACGTCCACGTCCATGTCCACGTCCACGTCCATGTCCACGTCCATGTTGACGTCCACGTCCATGTCCACGTCCACGTCCACGTCCACGTCCACGTCCACGTCCACGACCATGTCCACGTCCACGTCCACGTCCACGTCCATGTCCACGTCCAAGTCCTCCATGTCCATGTCCACGTCCACGTCCACGTCCACATCCACGTCCTTGTCCACGTCCACGTCCAGTACCACGTCCACGTCCACGTCTACGTCCATGTCCATGTCCACGTCCACGTCCACATCCATGTCCACGTCCACGTCCATGTCCAGGTCCATGTCCACGTCCACGTCCACGTCCACGTCCACGTCCATGTCCACGTCCACGTCCACGTCCATGTCCATGTCCACGTCCACGTCCACATCCACGTCCACGTCCATGTCCACGTCCATGTCCACGTCCACGTCCACGTCCACGTCCACGTCCATGTCCACGTCCACGTCCACGTCCATGTCCACGTCCACGTCCACGTCCATGTCCACGTCCATGTCTACGTCCACGTCCACGTCCACGTCCATATCCACGTCCAAGTCCTCCACGTCCACGTCCACGTCCACGTCCACGTCCACGACCATCTACGTCCACGTCCACGTCCACGTCCATGTCCACTTCCAAGTCCTCCACGTCCACGTCAACGTCCATGTCCACGTCCATGTCCATGTCCACGTCCATGTCCACGTCCATGTCCACGTCCATGTCCACGTCCATGTCCACGTCCACTTCCACGTCCACGTCCACGTCCACGTCCACGTCCACGTCCATGTCCACGTCCACGTCCACGTCCATGTCCACGTCCACGTCCATGTCCACGTCCATGTCCACGTCCATGTCCACGTCCACGTCCATGTCCACGTCCATGTCTACGTCCATCTCCACGTCCACGTCCATGTCCACGTCCATGTCCACGTCCACGTCCATGTCCACGTCCACGTCTACGTCCACGTCAACGTCCACATCCATGTCCACGTCCACGTCCATGTCCACGTCCACGTCCATGTCCATGTCCACGTCCACGCCCACGTCGATGTCCACGTCCACGTCCACGTCCACGTCCACGTCCACGTCCATGTCTACGTCCATGTCCACGTTTACGTCCATGTCCACGTCCACGTCCATATCCACGTCCATGTCCACGTCCATGTCCACGTCCACGTCCACGTCCACGTCCACGTCCATGTCCACGTCCACGTCCACATCCATGTCCACGTCCATGTCCACGTCCACGTCCACGTCCACGTCCAGGTCCACGTCCACGTCCACCTCCAGGTCCACGTCCACGTCCACGTCCACGTCCATGTCCACGTCCAAGTCCTCCACGTCCACGTCCACGTCCACGTCCACGACCATCTACGTCCACGTCCACGTCCACGTCCACGTCCATGTCCAAGTCCTCCACGTCCACGTCCACGTCCATGTCCAAGTCCTCCACGTCCACGTCAACGTCCATGTTCACGTCCATGTCCACGTCCATGTCCACGTCCACGTCCATGTCCATGTCCACGTCCACGCCCACGTCCACGTCCACATCGATGTCCACATCCACGTCCACGTCCACGTCCACGTCCATGTCTACGTCCATGTCCACGTCTACGTCCATGTCCACGTCCATGTCCATATCCACGTCCATGTCCACGTCCATGTCCACGTCCACGTCCACATCCACGTCCATGTCCACGTCCACGTCCACATCCATGTCCACGTCCATGTCCACGTCCACGTCCACGTCCAGGTCCACGTCCACGTCCACCTCCAGGTCCACGTCCACGTCCACGTCCACGTCCATGTCCACGTCCAAGTCCTCCACGTCCACGTCCACGTCAAGGTCCACGTCCACGACCATCTACGTCCACGTCCACGTCCACGTCCATGTCCAAGTCCTCCACGTCCACGTCAACGTCCATGTCCACGTCCATGTCCACGTCGACGTCCATGTCCACGTCCATGTCCACGTCCATGTCCACGTCCATGTCCACGTCCACATCCACGTCCACGTCTACGTCCACGTCCATGTCTACGTCCACGTCCACGTCCATGTACACGTCCACGTCCATGTCCACGTCCATGTCCACGTCCATGTCCACGTCCACGTCCACGTCCATGTCCACGTCCATGTCCACGTCTATCTCCACATCCACGTCCATGTCCACGTCCATGTCCTCGTACACGTCCATGTCCACGTCCACGTCCACGTCCACGTCCACGTCCATGTCCACGTCCACGTCCATGTCCACGTCCACGTCCATGTCCATGTCCACGTCCACGCCCACGTCCACGTTCACGTCGATGTCCACGTCCACGTCCACGTCCATGTCTACGTCCATGTCCACGTCCACGTCCATGTTCACGTCCACGTCCACGTCCATGTCCACGTCCAAGTCCTCCACATCCACGTCCACGTCCACGTCCATGTCCACGTCCACGTCCAGGTCCACGTCCACGTCCACGTCCATGTCCACGTCCAAGTCCTCCACATCCACGTCCATGTCCACGTCCATGTCCACGTCCACGTCCAGGTCCACGTCCACGTCCACGTCCACGTCCCTGTCCACTTCCACGTCCACGTCCATGTCCACGTCCACGTCCACGTCCACGTCCACTTCCACTTCCATGTCCACGTCCACGTCGACGTCCATGTCCACGTCCACGTCCATGTTCACGTCCACGTCCATGTCCACGTCCACGTCCATGTCCTATCCACGTCCACGCCCACGTCCACGTCCACGTCGATGTCCACGTCCACGTCCACGTCCACGTCCATGTCCACGTCCATGTCTACGTCGACGTCCACGTCCACGTCCATGTCCACGTCCACGTCCACGTCCATGTCCACGTCCACGTCGACGTCCATGTCCACGTCCACGTCCACGTCTACGTCCACGTCCACGTCCATGTCCACGTCCACGTCCACCTCCATGTCCACGTCCACGTCCACGTCCATGTCCACGTCCACGTCCACGTCCACGACCACGTCTACGTCCACGACCACGACCACGTCCATGTCCACGTCCATGTCCACGTCCATGTCCACGTCCATGTCCATGTCCACGTCCACGTCCATGTCCACGTCCACATCCACGTCCACGTCCACGTCCACGTCCACGTCCATGTCCACGTCCATGTCCACGTCCATGTCCACGTCCATGTCCACGTCCACGTCCACGTCCATGTCCACGTCCATGTCTACGTCCATCTCCACGTCCACGTCCATGTCCACGTCCATGTCCACGTCCACGTCCATGTCCACGTCCACGTCCACGTCTACGTCCACGTCAACGTCCACATCCATGTCCACGTCCACGTCCAGGTCCACGTCCACGTCCAGGTCCATGTCCACGTCCACGCCCACGTCCACGTCCACGTCGATGTCCACGTCCACGTCCACGTCCATGTCTACGTCCATGTCCACGTCCACGTCCACGTCCACGTCCACGTCCATGTCCACGTCCATGTCCACGTCCATGTCCACGTCCATGTCCACGTCCACGTCCACGTCCATGTCCACGTCCATGTCTACGTCCATCTCCACGTCCACGTCCATGTCCACGTCCATGTCCACGTCCACGTCCATGTCCACGTCCACGTCCACGTCTACGTCCACGTCAACGTCCACATCCATGTCCACGTCCACGTCCAGGTCCACGTCCACGTCCAGGTCCATGTCCACGTCCACGCCCACGTCCACGTCCACGTCGATGTCCACGTCCACGTCCACGTCCATGTCTACGTCCATGTCCACGTCCACGTCCATGTCCACGTCCAC